GGGATCAGGAACAGGGACTGGGAGCAGGAACAGGGACTGGGAGCAGGAGCTGGGCAGGGGAGCAGGGCCCGGGCAGGGGATCAGGAGCTGGGCAGGGCAGCAGGAACAGGGACTGGGATCAGGAACAGGGACTGGGATCAGGAGCTGGGGAGGGGAGCAGGAGCTGGGCAGGGCAGCAGGGCCCGGGCAGGGGATCAGGAGCTGGGGAGGGGATCAGGAACAGGGACTGGGATCAGGAACAGGGACTGGGATCAGGAACAGGGACTGGGATCAGGAACAGGGACTGGGAATGGGACTGGGATCAGGAACAGGGACTGGGAGCAGGGTCTGGGCAGGGCAGCAGGGCCCGGGCGGGCTCACCAGAAGTTGGCCTTGGTGAACTGCTCCATGTAGAGCTGCTCGTCCGTGAAGGGCGCCAGGTGCACGTCCCCGATCGTGGGGAACATATTCCCTGGGGAAGGCACGGGCCTTGGAGCCTGGCGGGGGTCCCAGAAACCCCCCCGGGGACCCCCCCGGGGACCCCCCCCGGCGCTCACCACTGGGTTTCAGGTACTTCTTGGCGTGCAGGTAGCTCTCGAGCATGCGCTCGTTGAAGAGCATGTAGCCCATGGGCTCGGAGATGATGATGTCCACCTGCTCGGGCAGAGACACCTCCTCCACCTTGCCCGGGATCACCACGATCCGCTCCGTCAGGTTGTTGCTCTTCACCAGCACCTGGGGGAAAAGGAAAGGGGGGGTAGAGGACGGGGGTCAGGCTACGGGATGGAGCCCCCCGTGCTGGGGACCCCCCCCCCCCCCCCCGGGCCGGCTCACCTCGGCGTGCTGGGCCATGGTGCTGGCTTCCACCGCGTAGATTTTGCGCGCCCCGGCCTGCGCCGCGAAGAAGGAGAGGATGCCCGAGCCGCAGCCCACGTCCAGCACGATCTGGGGAGGGGATGGGGGGCAGATGGGACCCCCCACAAGAGCCCCCAGTGGGGGATTCGAGGGGTTGGGGGGCCCGAAGCCCCGCTGATCCCGTCCTGCCCCGGCCCGCGCTCGGCCAGGACGGGGGGAAATCCCGAATTCCAGCTCTGGGAAGGAGCTGTGCTGCTGGAGCTGGAGCCAGAGCCCAAATCAGGGTGGTGTGTCCCCAGAATCAGGCTGGTGTGTCCCCAGAATCAGGGTGGTGTGTCCCCAAAACCAGGCTGGTGTGTCCCCAAAATCAGGGTGGGGTGTCCCCAGAATCAGGCTGGTGTGTCCCCAAAATCAGGCTGGTGTGTCCCCAAAATCAGGGTGGGGTGTCCCCAGAATCAGGGTGGTGTGTCCCCAGAATCAGGCTGGTGTGTCCCCAGAATCAGGGTGGTGTGTCCCCAAAATCAGGCTGGTGTGTCCCCAAAATCAGGCTGGTGTGTCCCCAGAATCAGGGTGGTGTGTCCCCAAAATCAGGGTGGTGTGTCCCCAAAACCAGGCTGGTGTGTCCCCAAAATCAGGCTGGTGTGTCCCCAGAATCAGGGTGATGTGTCCCCAAAATCAGGCTGGTTTGTCCAAAAAGGGAGCCAAGGTTCCCAAAAAACGGGGCAGGTTCTCCAAAAAGTCAGCCGGGATTCTCACCTGAATCCAAGCTGCATCCTGACCAAAATCCAGCCAGATT